CAACAACTCAATATGATACTTCTTCTTCTTATTCTTTTTCTTCTTCTTCTTCTTCTACTACTACTATTACCACTACTAATAATGAATAGTATTCAGGGTTTAGAGCATCGGAGGACATGATTAAGGATTGGAGGTTCCTCATTGGTTCGGCTACCGATACATGACCCAAAATCAACTCATTCTGGGCAGATCCAGCATCACTTCTGTTAAACTTCTCCAAAAAAGTGAAGTCACCCAACAACGATGATGTCAACTGGCAGCTTCAGCCACGCATCACTTTTCTATGACTCAGTTTGTTGAAGGTATATGCCCAACACTGGTCTACCGCAAAAAGATGAGGTAGCTTTGAATAAAATATAACTCATATAACATTGAATGGTACTAATGGAGGATTTTATTAGAAAGGGCGAAAGTGAAATAGAATGCCAAATGTGAGGGAATTATGGGTAGGGAGATGGGCTAGGCTTGGGGGAGTGCATGAACGTGGTACAAACTATGCTGAGATAATTGGAGAATGAAAACGGCAAAACTTGAATGTGCATTGTGCAACTCGCTTCTTCTAGACGCAATACAGACTTTCTTCTGTTTCTGGCCGACAGAAAATACCGCTGGTTTGGAAGGCAAGGCACGACAAGCCTTGAATGGTGCTGCAATGCGTCTTCTGCGGACAGGCCACTGGGGCCAACTGGAGCAGGCGTCGAGGCGAGGTGGCAAATCCGTACAAATAAGCTTTTCTCGCCTCCTCCCTCCAGAAGAGACAAGTCGAAGTGGTACGTCTGGCCTGGAGCATACTCCTGACCTGACTCTTGACCGTTTTGACACAAGTTCAAAAAGCTCAAGGGCCGTCCAATGCAGACGGCAAGCTCTCACCTGCAGCATACATTTGCTTCTTGCGTCTGGCTAGTTACACACATTTAAGTACACAAAGCAACAATAAACACAACTTCATGGGGCAAAACGGCCTAGAAACATCTACCTAATAATAGACCATTGAGGCATGATTGTGTGGCAATTAGCTAAGGAAGGAGAGACTCAACGGCAAAGGCCATACAGTATTGGATAAGACCAGAAAAGCTTAACTTAAACAAATGTAAAAAGAATCAGGGGGTTGAATTTCAACAAATTAACTACTTAAGTGAGTAAATTGAAGTAAAGTATGCCAAAATATATATTTAAACCATAATGATGTAATTGTATATACATACATACTTATATTTTACTACATATATTGTATTAAGCACTATTTGCGATATATATATCGAGAGAGAGAGTCTTGGTGAAACCGCCATACATGTTTCACCAAAATTCTTAGAATAAATAAGAATTATATAACTAATTTAATATTGTTTTCTCGTATTAATTAAAGTCTTTGGATTAATGTATCGTCTAATATTAAGAAGTGAAAATTGATAATTAATGTAATTATTTAATTATGATTGATAAGTTAACTAGTAATTCTTATTCTTACGAGGACACGAGCTCATGAGGCTGGGAGGGCAATTGGTCAAAAAGTATACAGCACTTTCAGTTTCAGGTGCAGCCAACCATGCCCCAACTGAGACGTACG